TCTCTTAGATACTTGGTTAACAACCGGTGAGGGAAACAAACTGGATTTCCAGTAAAATACCTAAAGCCTGAAGATAGAGAAAGGCACATAACCTGCCCAGGATACAGTCTGAAGGCTTCTGCCAGTTTTCATCTTTCAAGCTTTTCATCTGCTCATGCTGATTTGCAACGCAGGTTGACACTAACAGCTTGATTCTATTCCCACACCAGATGAGGTTACCTTGGAGGACACCCTTCTCAACCTCTCCCCTGCCTGAAGCATGGTGACCCTCAGGTTAAACCATCACCAGTTGTCTCTCTCTCTCCCACTCTCTATAACAATACAGGTAACCAATGGTACAGTAGGACTATAGTGACTTTATCTATGGGGGTGGATTAAGTTCAGTTGGCTAGATGGCTTGCAACGCACACTGATGCCAAAGGTACGAGTTCAATGCCCGCACCAACTGAGGTCACAGTGAAGGACTCTCCTTCTCAACCCCTCCCCTAGCGTGTTGGCCCTCAGGTTAAACCACCACCAGTCATCTCTCTCTAATGAGATAGCAGCCTATGGTCTGGTAGGACTATGGTGATTTACCTTTTTTATCTACCCAGGAGCCAATCAGATACTTGTGGCCTGGCTAAAAGCCACTGTCATCCATAACTGGTCACAACACCACAAACCAAATCAACAACCTGTTACTCATCAAATCTCACTTTGTACACACCCCCACTGCTGAACTCTCATACTGCTTGAGCAAAGCAGCAGTGTACCTTGACTTACTAGGAGTTTAAATTACTCGTATTTTAATACTTAAAACAATACCTTGCACAATCTTTGGTTTTAAAAAGTCTTGTACATTTCAATCCATAATCAAGAACAGAGATAAGTAAGATACTGACTTTGCACTAAAAAGGAATGCTTATACGGGTGAATGTGTACATAAATGTGTACATGTTCTATATATGTTAACAAATAGATGGATCATATTGCATGACACAGACAACAGTGAAGGTAAATGATAAAAACTCAGGAATTAATTACTGTTAACTAAGAATTGAAACAAATCGTCAGATGCTTAATAAAAGTTACAGCATATTGAAACACCAAATAAAATCAACAGGAATATTAAAAACAAAAAAAAGTAAGTTTCTGAGAAGTGTCACAGAAGCCTGGGTTAACTGAAAATATGAAGGAATATTTGAATTTCAACACACTTTGCAGTCTCGAAAATAACGTACAGAAATTCGATAAAAAGTGCGCATTTGCGATTTGAAATGCAATTAGCAATTTGAAATGCAATTAGCTAAATTTAGAGAATGTGTGAACCTTATCTCAACCTACTGGCATGAAATTTTATTTTAAAAGGAACAAAATGTTAAATGTTGAGACACGGCATCAAACTGCTTTACATAGAGTCATTTAGCATGGAAACAAACCCTTTGGTCCAACTTATCCATGCCAACCAAGTTTCCCAAACTAAACAAGTCCCACTTGCCTGCATTTGGCCCATATCCCTCTAAACCTTTCCTATTCATGTACCTGTCCAAATGTCTTGTAAATATTGTTACTGTACCAACACTTAGGGTACAAATGAAATCCAAAATCCTCAGAGGGAGTTTGATTAGCCACTTCAGAGAATCACCTTAAGATGGGAAGTCTATTCATAACCATGTTAAAGAAAAGAGAAAATAAATTGAAGTATTAAAAATATTAGTACAATTGGCATCTCCTAAGACTAAAGTACTGCCCAAAGTTCATTGTTGCAGTGCATCCAGTTCCAGCTTAAATAACCTCAATGTTCCTTTCTGTCTTATCCAATGAGAATATGGGGCAGACAACAGCCAGAACAGAGAAGTAGGCAGGGGAACTGCAAAACCACTAAAGGACTTTTTTCAAAAAAAATTATGACAAAAAGTATGAAAATGGGCAACAGAGAAACATGTCTCCATCCAGCAAATTTTCTCAGGAAAATACTCAGCCTATAACAGGTTAAACTGAAGCTACTGGCTCTCATTTAACCGCACTGCTAAACTGCGGTGTAACATGGTAAATCTGCTATGTGTAAAAGTGATCAAATCCAGCTGTCTAAGCTTTTAAAAGTGCTTTATCATCATTTTCTGGCAAATAAGACAAAAGTCAAAATGGGGGATCAGTTCAACCAAGATACAAAATGGTTTAATTATGTAATCAGAAGTGCTCCAAGAATTACACACTGGATACTCCTACTAGTTGAAGCCTGTATAGACAATTAGTTCTGTTAACTTGTCCTTATATACCATGGTATTAAAACAAAGGAAAACAGCAACTTCGGTAAAACAGCATACTCCTATCAGAAACTACTTCACTTACTTTACATTCATTCAGTACTTTTAATTTGATATTTCAATATTGTTTGCAAAAAAGAACATTGTTACCCTCTTTGCATTGTGCGTTTCTTTGTGTAGCTTGCAAATATCTTTTCTTCATTCTGTCTTCATTCATACTAATGTACGCATGTTTTCTTACACATACTGCATAACTTGCACTCTTGTCCAGTTCACTTTCACTTTTCGTCTCTTATAATTTGTGTATGATTCTCAATTACTCAAGGGTAGACAATGACCTAGCAGAACTATTGCTGGACTGTTAATCCAGAGACCCATGTAACATCCTGGGGACCTGGATTTGAATCCTGCCAGATAGTGGTATTTGAATTTAATAAAAATTTGGAATTAAGAGTCTTATGATGACCATTAATCCACTGCTGAGTATCCGAGTTTTAGAATGTCCTCTAAGGAAGGAAAATGCCACCCTGTGGGACTCCTGACCCACAGCAATGTGGTTGATTCTTAACTGCCCTCTGGGTGATTACAGATATGTGATAAATGCTGACCTAGCTGGCAAAGCCCTCATCCATGAATGAAAAACAGAATTACTGCCGATGAGGTAGTAGGAACTGCCAATGCTGGAGAATCTGAGATAACAAGGTGTAGAGCTGGATGAACACAGCAGGCCAAGCAGCATCAGAGGAGCAGGAGAGCTGATGTTTCGGGCCTGGACCTTTCTTTCTTACTACAGATGAATTTCTTTTGATGATAGTTATCAAGTAACGGCATCTGGGAGGAATCAGCTACCGTTAGAACCTAGATAATGATGAACTATAGCAGGAGAAAGGGGGAGAGGTTAATGCCTTAGGAAGGAATCCATAGACAGAATACGGGACAAGGGGAAGAGAAGGAGAGGACCAGCAGTACTAAGGGGGATGGCAGTGGAAAATTCATAGAATGTAAAGTATTAAACACTTGGATGCAGGGGCAGTGACCAAACACCGTACAAAGGTAGATGAGTACTTGGGATTGGAAGGGAGGGAATGCCCGAATCAAACACAGCTGCTTTCCTATCATACTGTTTATGTGACGGTTTTTATTATCACATGGCCAGCTGCATTGTTCCCACTGTCAATCAGCTCCTTGAAAATGTACAGATATGGAAAGACTACGAAGAGGAAAATTTCTCCACAAATTTTGAAAAACATTTACCTACATGAAGGCGAATGATGGCAGAATTATTATTTTTAATCTCTGACATCATCCTGGTAAAAATCTGCAAAATATTCTAGATATGGGTTTATTGGGGTAAGAAGGACCTGAAACTCAACATTGTCAACATGTTTTTCATTTGTTATTCTTCTAAATGTCCTGATTACGAACAGCTTTTTCCACTTTATAATTTCTAAGGATTCTGCAAAAACTCCACTCTCTTCAACACCTTTATAATGAATGTGTCCACTCAAACAGGCACATAGATACATTTTGAGATGTATCATGTGCAAAATTGCAATGCCACACATGAAATGGTATAGAATCGGGAATTGAAAATACACCTTTCAAGTGTAATTAATAACTGGTTTCATAAACATGCACATTTGCAGCAGGAAGGCCACTAAAACAATACAGGCATCTCATACAGACTCTATATTAGCAACATAATATGTTGGGCGGCACGGTGGCCCAGTGGTTAGTACTGCATGCTCACAACACCAGGGTCCCGGGTTTAATTCCACCCTCAGGCAACTGTCGGTGTGGAGTTTGCACATTCTCCCTATGTCTGTGTGGGTTTCCTCCGGGTGCTCCGGTTTCCTCCCACAATCCAAAGATGTGCAGGCCAGGTGGATTGGCCATGCTAAATTGCCCACAGTGTTCAGGGATGTGGAGATTAGGGGGATGGGTCTGGGTGGGATGTTCTGAGGATCAGTGTGGACTTGTTGGGCCGAAGGGTCTGTTTGCACACTGTACGGATCCTATGATCTATGATAATATGCATTATGCAAAACATATTAAAACAGCCTATCACCTCACTTACCATATGAAATTAATCAACTATTGGATGTTTCAGAAACCTGCTTATTTATATTCATAGACTGATTTACTTAACAGTAAAACTGTAAACATGGAGATGGGTGATCAACCAGTACGATGGCAATCCCAAGTAAAATGGGAGAAGCTAAAAGAAGGTAAAATAACAAACGCTACATAAAAAAAATTGCATCAAGAAAATTGGCAGCCCCATGTGTAAATTTTACCTTATCCCATAACAGCTATCATATACTTGAACATTCAAAATGGTAATATCCTGTCTCCTGTTTCCAAATTGGAACAGTTTTTGTTCGTTCAGTATTGTACACTAGGCAAACAGGGCAGGGGCCAACAGCAACAAAATGCAAGGGTGAGAAAGAGAGAAGGAAAGTTGCCAAAGTCCACTTCCCCCCACTATCACAAGCAATGAGACTGGAATTGGCAGCCGATAAAATGGAGGGAGACAAACAGCCTACGGCTTGAAAATAATTACAAGCTTGGGGACATGACTAGTATAAAACTAAAATGTTGTCTTTCTTACTTTTCTCCTGTTTACAGCACACTGGCTGCACATTGGCCAATTTCAAAAACATTTTTTCTTATGTTATCCACTGAAATGCAAATGAAGCAGAATGGAAAGATTTCTCTAGAGCTTCACTCTATGGGAATATTTGTAAAGGATACGTCCTTGTTCAATGAAGGTAATTGCTGCTTTTAGATTCTGAGCCATCCGAAGTTTCACCATAATAGTGGGGAGACGCCTCCTGGAAAAGGAGCACAAGTTTAATTTATTTTAAAACGCAGAATCAAATGCTTATTACAGCTCTCAGTAAATATCATCTTCTTCCGTCAAGCATTGGTGACCAGGCACAAGAATTCAGTCCTTTATTTGTACAGCTGTGAAGTGGCCAAAAAAAATCTAGTACAAGCTGGTTCTCTCAAATATCTCAGCTTTGAAATTACACAATACTTGCCGGTAACCATACCAACCAACCAAGATAGATTAGTAACTGGGAAAACTCGTTCTAAATGAGCAACAGAATGTGTCAGTCAGGTCTCCAGTTTCAGAGGATACACCAAACACAACTATTCAATTTTACTGTGAAATAGAGGTGATATGGCATGACCTCATTAAAAAGTCATGTGAAGCTCTGTACATCCCTGACATTCTTCCTCATATTTAATGTATTCGATGGCTGTATTCTAGAAAATGACAATCCCAAGTAAGTTCTTGATTACAATTGATTAGTGTTTATGCAACGGACTTTACTGTTGAATTCTCTTCTGCAAAAAAAAAGTACTAAAAATTCCGTAAGGGAACTGTGCTTGATGACAAAACAGAAGAAATATTCATCATAAGCTTACAGTTACATGATGAATTTTTATTAGCAATTTTTTAATACTAGCTACAGTCTTATATCCTCCATGCTATCCAGTCATGACATAGACTCTGAAAATTACTTGATTTTCACTTTTTAAAGGAAACAGCCCAGTGGTGAAGGCTTCCAGTCTGATTGATCATATGAATTGAATTGTGTTAAATGGTTCTAATTGACATTCTAGACTTGTGTTGACACTGTTCAGAATTGAGGTCTACAGCAATAGGAAATTCAACAACAATGGCACTTTGCTCAGAGCAAACTGAGTTAAAGAAGTGTTCAATGGCCTGCATTAGGAATAACGTTTCTTCATTCTTGCAATACATGTGCACAATATGAGACTTAACCATCACGTAAATGAAATCACACTAGTGTACTTTTAAAAATCCAAGGCCATAGATATCCCTTATTACAGTGCCTTTACCTTTATCGATATTTTTAAAATCTTACACTTACATGTAATGTCTGTACTATGTCTTCCTGTATTCACAGACTGTGCACCGATATCTTCAAGTGTCGTTTCCTGTGTCCACATTCATTGTGAACTTTTCATGTTTCAACTGTTCATTGTAACACTTTTCATTTTGAATGTACAACATTGTCATTGGGTAGCCACAACTGTCCCAACAGAGTTTTCTGAAATTTTTCATTATCCTTCAGCATCTAATATTTCTAATATTCAAAGTATGAGACTAAACAAAGTACCAATTAGAAAAAAATGAAAAAATTAACTTTGTGGTGCAATGAATAAATCTATTCAAATTGTCTATTGTATAGTTAATGGTTTTCTTAACTATTTCACGAGAACGCTTTGGTCGATTCAATGAAGTTCCAAATTTTGGTATGGTGACCTGATGTTAGAATACCAAATCAGCACACTTGTAGTGTGCATAATTCCTGGACACAATAATTCTACTCAGTCAGCTATTTTATGGCAGTATTCAGCTTCTCAAATTACAGTCCATTCTCCTCACATAATTTTGAAAAGCACAACAAATAACTAAATTTGTGCCTGTCTGCAAGTAAAAAAGTGTACTGACAGATTTGTTATAGCTTTTATCTGCGTCCCATGACATTTAAATAATGTCAAAATAAGCTTGTGATGCAAGGGGTGAGCAACAAAGAATAAAGAGAAAAAGACAGCATGAGAAAAAAGGTGACAATGGCGGGAGTTCAAAGAAGGCATAAGAGGTGCTGAGACAGAGTACAGCTCGTGGTGGAATTGCAGTAAAATCAAGTTTGCACCAGCAGTTCCAATTTAAGTGCCAACTGAAAAATTTGCAATAGTAACTAAAAATAAAGACACACTTTCAAAACGAGAGCTAAGTAACAACTATACGCTCTGGTTTCATTATATTTGGCCACTCAACACTGTGACAAATGAAGATGGAGATGGAACCATATAATATATATCACAAATCCTTAATCTGGAACAAGACCCCAGTTTCTTTGTGATTGGATGATAGAATAGTAAACTTGCTGCAAATGGCTAAGTTAAAAATCATATAAATTCTATTCTGGTGTTTTGTTTAGAGGAAGCCTTAAATGTACAAACATTAAGATGAAGTGGAAAACCATAGACTATATGTAATGTAATCCTCAACAAATTCAAATTCTACAAGCAAATGAATCATTGTGATTACAGAAAATTTCAGTCTCCTTTAATGAAGTTTTGACATGAAAATTTTGCACAGGTAAAATCCATTGCCAAAGGTGGCCTTCGTCATCTGTAACTTTTTATATACAAGTCAGATACATTTTATTGTGTCTGACTGAAACAGTCTTTCTGACAAGCAAGGTAGAACATGATATATGCAAAGATCATAAGATTCAGAAACAGAAGTAGATCATTTGGCTCATCAAATGTGCTCTGCATCCAATGAGATCAAGACTGATCTGATGATCTTCAACTTCACTTTCCTGCCTTTTCCCCATAACCCTTGATTCCTTTGCAGACTAAGAACCTGTCTATCTTAGCCTTGAATATACTTAATGACCCAGCCTCCACAGCCCTCCATAAAGAATTCCATAGATTCACAGCCTTCTGAGGGGAAAACAAAAGTCCTCCTCAAATCTGTCACAAATGGATGACCCCTTAATCTGAGGCTATGCCCTCTAAATGGCTTAGAAAATTACTTTGGTGAAGGGAAATTTAGGGATGATTAATAAATGTTGCCAACATCCTATGAATGAATACATTAAGATGAAACTACCCATCTTTACCACATTATTTCTGGACTCTAGAAATGTGTTGTATTGTTATCTTCCAAGGCTCCTCGTACTCATCTTCCATCCAGTTTAAAAATAAAAAGTACTCTCCCTGAAACAGATTGCAATATAATCTGGCAATATCATCCAGGATCATAATATAATGGTGGGGGATCTGGCTTGGGATTGTAACAGAAATCAGAAAGCATGAACTGGATAAAGAAGCGTCTAGGTTACAAGCTGAAAAATGTCTAGACGTTTGGATGGGGATTCCCATTCAGAAGTTACATTTGAATAAATATTTTCCTTGTGTAGCTAAATTGCCAATTACACAGTGTCGTTCTGAAGCAGGTTCACTGGACCCTAAATGTTAACTCTGATTTCTCTCCACAGATGCTGCCAGACCTACTGAGTTTTTCCAGCAATTTGTTTTTGCTTGTGATTAAAAGTATAAATTGTATTATACATAGGTAAATTTCCCAAGATGGGAAGTGAATATATATGAAGACAGATACTCATAGGGTTCACTGGTCCCAGCTGTTAGCTATACAATAATTCGAGAAGCACTGGTATGGAAACCTAGTTAAATACTCTTTTATACTTTGTCATCTAAACTAGCACAAAGTAATAGTGGAAGAGTTTTCTGTTGTTGGTTTATAGCCATAGAACAAAGAATTGTATTGCTTTGTACCAAAATATGATTATTTTTTTTTTTTTTTAAAATCAACCTGTTCAGAGATGTGATTACACTCCTTTGGAGCACGTGGAACTTGAACCCAGGCCTCCCAGTTCAGGGTTAGGTCTGCCACCACTGCACCACAAAAGCCCCCTGTACCAAAATATACTGAATGCAGTGATATTGACCACAGCTGATCTGAAAGTCAGCAAGTCTCCAGTTAGTGGCCAGCTAAAAGGTAATTGGTTTCATTAGACACAGACTGGGCAATTTTTGTTCGGGGTCTGGTTTAGTTCACTGAGCAACTACATCTCGGAGGTGTACCCCGCTTCCCTCCACCAACCTCTCAGAAACTGTCAGACTTTTAAGTCTAAGCAGAACAGACTTTCAGAAGTTTCAGCTTCTCCAACTGCATTCATTCCTTAGGATGATCTATCACAGAGACTTATTCTCCACCTCAGCTAGAGTTATTGTTCGTTGAAGAGACAAAACTCAAAGTATGTTTGTGTTAAACATTAAGCTTTTTTTTAAAATTTGAAATTGACATCAATCCTAATGTTATATCTTGCTGCAGGTTGTGCATTTATTGAACTGGCAGGCATCAAAAGGGAAGGAGTTATTTCTGGGATGATTGTAAAGAGCTGCAAACTTCAATTCAGGCTTCACCACAGACTAATCTTAACTTGAGAAAATAAATGGTACATGAGGTACACAATACTACTCTCTGTAAACCTCATATTCTGACAATGTACAAAGGAGATAAAAAGACCTTGATAACTCAACCAGAATGTGACGACAGTGGAGGAAAATCAAGATCATTGCCAAAGATATGAATGGTGCTAAATTCTAAGAGGCACAATTACTGTGGTTTATATCTCCTAACTAATTTATTTAATCGCCCACTCATTCACAGGTAGCATGAAAACAAAGTTAAGTGCAAACAGAGAAATGAAATGTTTACAATGGAAAAAAATGATAATAAAGATCAATGGTATAGAGCTGGATGAACTAGCCTACTATCTCATAATAAAGATCAATGCCCTTTATTTTTCACATATAGAGAGGATATAGAGTGTCCTCTCTGTATGTGAAAATAAAGGTTACTGATCTTTATTATCATTTTGTTCCATTAATAATACTTACTAATTCGGTTAATGTTAAAGGAGGTACAGCCATGAAATGTCATTAGAGCTGTCGAATAGACTGTGTCCTTATTGTGAAATAAAGAGAATCATGTTGATATTTCAGAAAAATATAGAGAGGACAATGGTATTGCTCCATCACATAGACAGCTCAAAAGCGATTGGGTAAAATGTGGAAAATTAATGACAGCAACCACTATAAAACCGTGCATATCAACGGCAAACATGTTTTCTTTTGTATTTTTGAATGCGTTGGAGTTATAAATTCTCAGCAGATAATAGTATTCACATTCACACTTTCCAATTTTTTTTTCACTTGCTGGCTGGGCCAGCATTTATTGCCTGTTCCTAGTTGCCCTTAACGAGTTAGTGGTGAGCTGCCTTCTTGAACTGTGGCAGTCCATGTACTGTACATAGACTCACAATGCTGTTAAGGAGGGAATTCCAAGATTTTGATCTAGCCACACTGAAGTAACGGTGATATATTTCCAAGTCAGGATGGAGAGTGGCTTGGAGGGGAACTTGCAAGTAGTGGTGCTCACTTGTGTTCACTGTCCTTGTCCAACTAGATGGAACTGATCGTGGGTTTGGAAGGTGCTGACTAAAGATCTTTTGGTGAATCTCTGTGTGCATCTTGTAGATAATCCACAATACTGCTATTGCACATCAGTGGATAGTATGGATGTTTGTGGATGTGGTGCCAATCAAGCCAGCTGTTTTGTCCTGGATGGTGTCAATCTTCAAGTGTTATTGGAGCTGCACTCATCCAGGCAAGTGGGGAGTATTCCATCATGCACCTGATTTGTGCCTTGTATAAGATGGACATGCTTTGGGGAATCAGGTGGTAAGTTACTACTGTATTCCTAGCCTCTGACCTGCTCTTGTAGCCACTGTATTTATGTAGCAAATCCAGCTGAGTTTTTGGTCAATGGTCAATGGTAACCACCCCAGAATTTTGATAGTTATGCCACTGAATGTCAAGGGACAATAGCTAGATTGTCTCTTACTAGAGATGATCATTTGCATGGTGCGAATGTTACTTGCTACTTTTCAGCCCAAACCTGGATACTGACCAGGGCTTGTTGCAGTTGAACATGGATTGTTTCAGTATCTGAGGAATGGCAAATGGTACTGAACACTACGCAAACATCTGTGAACATCCCCACTTTTGATCTTATGATGGAGGGTAGGTCATTGATGATAGTTGAGCCGAGGACACTACCCGGAGGAACACTGCAGTGATGTCCTGGAGCTGAGATGACTGACCTTCAACAACCACAACCATCTTACTCTGTGTCAGGTCTGACTCCAACCAGTAGAGACTTTGCCTCCTGATTCCTGTTAATTCCAGTTTTGTTCAGGCTCTTTAATGTTTCACTTGGAGAAATGTGGGCTTGATGACAACAGCTGTCAATCTCACCTCACTTCCGGAATTCAGCTCTTTTGTCCATGTTTGAGCCAAGGCTATAATGAGGTCAGGAACTGAGTGGCCCTGGTGGAACCCAAACTGTCTATCACTGAGCAGGTTATTGCTGAACAGGTGGCCTGTAGTCGTGGCCGAGTGGTTAAGGCGATGGGTTTGAAATCCGTTGGGGTTTCCCCACACAGGTTCGAATCCTGCCGGCTTCGTTTCTACAACTTGCAGGTTTTAAATGACTTTGTGCTGTCAAAACAAACTCATGTTTCAGGAGTGGCATGGTGGCTCTGTGGTTAACACTGCTGCCTCACAGCGCCAGGGACGCGGGTTCGAATCTACTCTCAAGTGTGGAGTTTGCACATTCTCCCTGTATCTGTGTGGGTTTCCTCCCACAGTCCAAAGATGTGCACGCTTGGTGGATTGGCCATGCTAAATTGCCCGTAGTGTTCAGGGGGTGTGTAGATTAGGTGGGTTATAGGGAGGTGGGTCTGGGTGGGACGTTCTGAGGGTCAGTGTGGACTTGTTGGGTTGAAGGGCCCGTTACTACACTGTAGGGATTCTATGAAAGTCTATGTTCTATGAAAGCAGCTGCTTGATAACACATTCCATCACTTTACTGATAATTGACATATGCGACAGTGATTGGCTGAGTTGGATTGGTCCTGCTTCTTGTCTACGATATACTGGGCAATTTCTCAACTTGCTGGGTGGATGCCAGTGTTGTGGCTGCACTGAAACAGCTTGGCTCGGGGTGTGTGGTAAGTTCTGGAGCACAAGTCTTCAGTATTATTGCCATAATGTTCAAGACCTATAGCTTTTGCAGTATCCAGTATCTCCAACCATTTCTGGATATCATAGGGAATGAATTGAATTGGCTGAAGACCAACTATCTGTGATGCCAAGGATCACTGTAGGAGGCCAAGATGGATCATTTACTTGGCAATTCTGGCTAAAGAGTGTTGCGAATGCTTCAGCCTGATCTTTTGTACTGATGAGCTGGGCTCTTCTACCATTGAGATGGGAATATTAGTGAGCTGTTGAATTGTCCACTACCATTCACAGCTGGTTGTGATAGGACTGCAGAGTTTAGATCTAATCTCTTGGATATGGGATCACTTAGCTGTTTCTATTACTTGATGCTTATCCTGGCTGACACTGTGATCTCTAATCACCTAAAAGAATGAATAAAATTACAGCATCTTGGATATAAAGCTGGCAGGAATTCTTACACAGTTGATGGAAGGGGTATTTAAAATACTTCTCGGAAAATGACATATCTTCACATTACTGGCAAAACCAGGGATACAGTAGACTAAGGGGAAATAAATTGATGTCAACTTTTATTTCAAAATATGCCACATTTTAAATATGTACCTTTTGCATGTCAAAACTGTAACTAACAACATAAATCATATACTTTGCTGGAAGTAACAGACCAGATTGTCTACAAAAGAGCACTACAGTAGTGTGTCTTTTCGCTTGTAGAATTTTTATTTATTGGGTTTCTGGAATGGTCAGCTATTATTGGCACTACAAGGGAACCTGGTGAACAATGGGATAAAAAGTGCATTTCTTTGACCAATGAGATAAAGGTTGGAGGAATAACTAAATAAATAAATGCTAAAAAAAAGGGATGAATTGGAATCAGTGAATTGCATTGACAACCCTGACTTCAAAGTTCCCAACCTTTGCCCTTGCCATTCACCTAAAGCCCATCTTCCTCTATTTCCTCTCACCCTAAATTACTCCTCCTTCAATACCACAAACTCCCGCACCTCTCTACCCTCCTCTAATCCTGGCCCCTTCCCCCACCTCGCTGATTGGTTCTCAACACAAATTCCTCTACTTTTTGTATCTCCCTCTTATTTCAGATCTTCCTTAAAATTTACCTTGTTGTGCAGGCTTTTGATCACCCCACCCAATACATTTCTTTCTTCCTTAGCTGAGCATTTAACTGTCTGCATGCACAGCTTGGAACACGCATCTAAATTATATAAATATTAGCTGTTGTTTTGTCTCCTGCTGTCTTGTACAACAATTGCATTAACTTTGCAAAGGAGATTTATTGTGAAATTGAATACAACTTCCTGTTTCTAGCTGACTCAGAAGCAATGGGTGTGACATAGATGCAGAGCATACCATGATAATATTTTATTTGAAGCACTGGAAAGGCGAGTCTACAAGTATGCAATGTGCAGTAAACTGAAGGTACTACAAGCAGCTATCCTGGCAGTTTAAAGTTTCATACAAAATTTTTGTTTTTGCAATATTTTGATGTAAATATCACTTCACCTTCTTGAACTTGTATCTACTGAATGTTTTCTACAATTGCTCAAATTCACTCCCAAATCAACATACATGTATGATCCATCTCAGGAAATATTTCAACACACTTGTAAAATGCCAGGAATTGAACCATGAAAAAAAAATGCACAAAGTGTATCACAGGCTCTGCTCTGAAATTTCTGTAAATCATGATGATACACCTGAGGAGAAACCAGTCCAGAACAAACACATGAAGAGAGAAGTCTTATACTCTACACGAGAGAACCACCAGGGAAGTGACATTGGGAAGGTGGGCCCTGCTGAGAGCCACCCACTTACCCTTACTTCTGGCACCTCTCTCCCTGTAAGCCCCACCATGTGAACCCACCTTGATTATGGGTCTTCCATGATCTGGGAGTACAACACCTTATGAGCTCACATATTTACCTTAAGTGGCCATCGATTAGCCATTTATGGGCTTCATTGGCAGCAGGGCAGGAAGGTTGACGATGGGTCCTCCTGCCCCAAACTTGCCTTCAGACACTGCCGTTATACCGCCGAATTCAATACTCTTCCCATCTTCCAGCTCACCACCAGCAAGAGCAGACTAGTCCAGACATGAATTCCTGAGAGGTTCCCGTATAAGGTTTATGCGGTTTAGAAACTGTTGTTTTTGCATCAAGAATCTTTCTAAATTATTTGGAACTAATGCTTTGATAGAAGATTGATGGAAACATATGATTTGACTAACTCCAAGTCCACTCAAGAGTTTAATATTCGCCACTACCTGAAGCATGTGCCTCATCATTTTACACTCACTAGTTAAGAATGGGTTCCTAATTTGCCAAGTCATCTTGCGATTAGCAGAAACAATCACGAGTCTTTATTTTCTGTTGCCGTTCAGTTCTCACCTCAAGGTCACAATATTGTGGGTCCTCGTCCTTCAGCATGAAAACCAATAAGAAAAGCAAGAAAAGAGTGTACGACACTGTCAGAAGTGCTGTCTTTCAAATTAGATATTAAACAGAGGGCCCTTCTGCCTTTTCTGGTAGTCATAAAAGATCCCTTAGCACTAACTCAAAGGGCAGTGCAATTATTGGAAGCCTGGCCAATCGCTCAATCAACATCAAATAATAAACAAATTAGCTGGTCATTACAACAAGGACTTTGCCATGTGCCAATTGGCTGCTCCATGCCCTATATTACAATAATGACGACACTTCAAAAGTAAGCCATTGGTGGTAAAGCACTTTGAGGCATCTGGTCTATGATCACAGGAGCAGCCATTGGAAACATTAAAGTCCACCTCATGAAAACTGGTTTCAACTGCAAAAGTTGGGAAAAGAATACATTGGACGACTCATGGTGGCTAGCCCTGCTCCACCAAGATATACGTGATTTTGAAGCAAGGTGGGTGACAAGGGCTGAAGATGTAAAAACAAAGACCGAGAAGGGATGCTACCTGTCAACACCCACAAATTGGCCAACTGACTACACAGACTTCCTCTTCCCCCATCAATGCTGCTTCGCCCTTAGTCTTTTAACTTTCTTTTCTACCTGTTTAACTTTGTAGTAATCCCATCCCTAACTCTAACACCCTCATTCTCTTTTCCTCCTTCCTTTCACTCTATCTGTCATTCCTCTCAGATTCCATAGCAAATATCCTCCTTGCATTGAGGTACCACCAATTATTTAAATTTACGTCTTTCTTTTCTTCCTGCTTCTTTTTGGGGAATTATGGATTTTTAAAAGTGAGCTTGTGGGCTACAAAACACTCTGTGGCAGATCAGGCTGCCAAAATTGGTCAAACTCAATGACGTTCAACATGTCCAACTCAAGCAGTCAACCAAAAATTCAAAGACTTCATTATATCTTTTGAATGAGGCAAACATGTAATAAAAACAAATAAACAAAGTTGACCAAAACTCAGCTGACCAATGACTTAGTTAGTTCAGACCATCAAATGCTGAGCCATTGTGGTCAGCGAGATACCAGCACATTTCAATACATGTACGAAGTCAGTTGAAAGAGGAGCGAGAAAAAAAACAATTAGTCTCAGTATCCTTGGGTGAGGGAACTGAAATTTAGCCTGAATTCCTCTTTCTGAACACCATCTAATTACCCTTGTAAAATAAAATTTGTATGCACTGGATTAGGACAGAATTGAACGCTGAGGTTATTCTAGTTCCTGCATAGCTAATATTTTTTATTTAACTAAAGTAGCTATAATTATTTTCATTAAAGCCAGAATAGCTGTTTTCAAAATCTACCAATTTGTTTCTTTTAAAACAATAGTCCCTGCCACGATTCACCATCTTCCTAAATTAGCATATTCTGAAATCATATCTCCAATCTAACATACACATTTCAAGACAAAATATTTCAATACATATTGAATACATACTACACATATACTTTTAAAATAAAAACACACGAGTTTCTAAGCAGCCTTTTATGAAACAGTGCATTAATTTTTTAAAAACCTTGTGGAATCTATTGATGGTTTACGGATATATCTCATTTTCACTACTATTTCTATTTGCACTATTTTTTTCCTATTTGCTCATGTTGCTAGTTAAGAAAACAAATATTACCCTTTTTATAATGATCTTTCGTTGTGAGAGCAGTACAAATACTACTAAACTCAGAAACTACATTGACTGGATTTAACTCAGTGCAATAGGGCAGAATTTCAAACATGAAGTCAAAAAAGGAAAGGCAGGAGAGTCGTGATAGCAGGCAGAAATGGCCGTTTCTCTCTGAAATGGAGCTTGGTGAAGAGCAGCAGTAATGTTTGGGTCTTTGCAGAAACTCAAGAAATCCATTGTCCTCAACTTGTCAACATGTATGCTATCCAACTTTTAATGGAGAATCAGGACAAGTCTAGACTCTTGTCTCCCGAGGCAATTTAAATTGGTCGCCGACTAAAACAAAAATTTTAATAATCCTTCAAATATAAAGTGCTAAACTGACTTCGAAAGCATAGCATTTAGATTAGGAGCGCATTTTAACAGAGGCTTCAAATTTAAACACAACATTATCGTAAATCAGGAATAGCAAAGAAAACTGAATTCACTCCCTGAAAATAGGTTAACGAGTTATATTGTTAAAGAGTTCTCATAGGACCACAGCTAATTGTACCACCCCGCTCTCAGACATAGACCAATTTCCGTCAATCATCATTTTCAAATTTGTCCTCTCTCTTCTAAGCAAGTTATTTCAGCAAATTTGTCATGGGTCAAAACCCATATCATACCAAATAAAGCGAACACAGCTTTCATAACGCTGCTAATGAAAAAAAAAATCAAAGCAATATTGAGTGTGAACATGAATTAGTTGCAAATGGGCAATAAGCAAACTGGTAGTGTATCATTGTCTCACTGTACACAATCATGTGATAAATCCATACCTGCAGAAAGATGATGCTGACACTCTCTCACAAAGGTGTAGACCTTGCTTTGTGGGGATCAGGCCTGCTGAGTATCTGAAATTAATAACAGGACCAAAATTAAATTGAATTAATTTCAAGAAATAGGAACCAACTCCTCCACACAATTCTCCAGTGTTAAGAAACAACTTCTCACAGTCTGGTAGTATCAAGTGTTGTCAAAGCATGACTGACACAAACCAACCACTCTGTAAATCATTGCTGAGCCTGAACACATAGCCTCAATCACTACCTGAAATGTTGAGCTGAAGCTTTGTATTCACCAGGACCTGAACAGAGAACCAAGGTGAAATATTACATGTGCAGGAAATCTGGGGGGAAAAACAATTCCAAAGTAGTGGAGAAATTCAGCAGATCTGACAACATTTGCAAAGGGAGAAACAGAACAGAAAAGAGAATGCTTGAATTCTCCGGAATGGAAAATGCTTGCTCAAATGTGTGTGTCCTGAACTAAAATGGTCCAAACAATCCAAGGTAGGTCATGCACCATCTCATCTTAAAAGTCATTTTTTTTCAACTTCTAAAACTAAAAGGCATCACTCCATAGCAGGTAATGTGAAAAGTGTAACATCTCCAGATGGTCTTCCACCTCAGGGATCTGTTTCACACTCCAGTCAAAACCAACTGAATTTACAACTTGAGAAACTACCATAAAATAAGCTTGGTGGGTATTAATACACTTTCAAGAAGCGAAACATCTATAGCACAGAGAATCTCATTCATAAAATGCATAACATATGCAATAATATCATACCAACAAAATTGTAAACAATGTGGCACAGCTAGGGCATATTTCTGGGTCCTGCAAACATTGTCAAAAGAAAAGTTAAGGGAACTTCATTGTTTAATTAGTGTTCAAATGTGGGCTTTACTCATAAGGACAGGATTAATTTCTTATCTCAAATTGTGAAATGGTGGTGATAGTCCTTCTCCCCAAATCTCAGCACTCTGTGTTTTGATGTTATTCTCACAATGCAGATACAAAGGAAATTCTAGAACTGAGACTCAATAATGATGGGTCCGAGTTAGAACTGCACATGACGCAGATTTGATGCTCCCAATGTTCCTTCCGCCCTGGAGATTCGAGGGATTTGGAAGTTTGGTGGTTTGGGAGCTACTGCCCAAAGAAGCCTTAACAATTTGCTGTGGTATATAATGTAGAGGTCAAAATACTATGCAGTATGAAAGACATGGAACTTGTATGCATGTTTGTTTGGACATCATCCAAGCCTTGGTATTATAGGTTAATATACTGTATTTTCATACATGGAGCCACCCAGTTCCTCCGCTGCACATTAATTCTGATATGCCATGTCAAACAGTTCTGACAAGTCACTACTTTAATAGCTGACTGCATATAAAAATAATGCAAAAAAAATTTTGCTTCACAACGTTCATACGTACTAAGTTCCTCTTTTATTCAATGCACCAACAGGCTAATTTTAAACTTCTGACCATAGCCAGCAGTGTCAACTCTACGTTCAGGAAATATAGCACACTTCATATGTCTAACAAATGTCGACCTCATCTCACTCTTGCTCACTCTGATAAAACATCAGCCCAAAAGAACAATGGTAACAGAGCGAATGAAGAAAGAACTTCTATTTGTCAGACAGCTATCACGTTCTCAGGACTTCCCAAGACATCTTACAACCAAATTATTTACTTTTGAAGCATAGTCACTGTTTTACAGGAAAAATGTTCATGTACAGAAAAGTCTAACAAACAGCATAGTGGAGGGGAAAGACTGGGCTGGACATGGTTACGAAATACTAGGACTTGAACTTAAATCACTGCCTAATCGGGCAAACACGGATTCCACACACAAAACTGCACACTTGGTAAGTGTTTCACCATAGATTATCGCAGAGTTTTCCACTTATATGAGAGGCACCTCACTCACCTACTTCTCTTTCAATATAAAATGCCACCAATTAAGCTCATTCTCTTTAGGTTATCCTCTCTCCATTTTATATTTATTCTTGGGATGTGGATGTCACTGGCTGTTCCATCATTTATGGTCTATCCCTAATTATCCTTGAGAAGGTGGTAATAGATGTCTTCTCGAACCAATTCAGGTTTTGGGTGTAGGTATACCCACGGTGAAGGGTATTCCAGGTTGTGACCCAATGACAGTGAAAAAATGGGAAGAGAGTTCAATTTTTGGACAGTATGTGGCTTGGATAGCGGGGGTCCCATGTATTTGCTACCATTGTTTTTCTAGGTGGCAGAGATTACAGATTTAGAAGGCGCTACAGAAGGAACTATGGTGAGTTACTGCAGTGCAGATTGTATACTGCTGCCACTATATGATGACAGAAGGAGTGAATGTTGAAGGTAGTGGTTGGGGTATGAATCAAGCTGCTTTGTCCATGACACCATTCCTGGATACTAAAGTTGGAGACTGGTGGTTGGCACTTACTAGTCTACCAATAAATCTTCCTTCCCAGCTTAGAACTCAATAAAGTTAAACACTAAAAGAACCACTGTAAAACATCCAACGTTACAATAATTATCCATCCTTCCTTCAATTTGAACATCGGTCATGTTTTCATTCTGTTCGGAAGGGGAGGTCGAGCCCCTCTAATAATTAAAAACAAAACACAAGTCCCCAGTCTGTTACGGCATGAGTACAGGTCCCCTTCTAATAATTAAACCTGAAACATCCAGAGATGCACATCTCACCTGACCTAGTCTGTTAAACTGTTACAGAGAAGGGGAGGTTAAATAAAAGAAAATCCCTGATATTCACTTTATAAGTAACAATAGTCATAAATGCCCTTCTTTCGCTGATCCTGCTGTCAGTGATGGTTTCTCTGTGAAGACTCTTAGTTAGAAGTGCTGTGGTATCTTTTATGGATAAGATAGTGCTTTCTTAGAGAGCTTAGTGATTTCTTGAGAGAGCGAGGTGCTTATTTCTTAGCGGTTTGCTCTCACGTCAATTTTCAAAAACCCTCTCCTTAAGTACCTTGGATGACGTATCAATTTTCTTACAATAGTGTTGGCCCGAGGTTGTCAAAACCATCAGATTTCAATTCAATTGACTTTCAATCGCTAAGTGCTTGGCTTAAATTAATTGGTTAATTGCAGCTCATTGCCAAACATCAAAATAAGCCTAAGGTTGTCAATAACACAGCCAATTGATACATGTTTCAATTTTAGAACTGGCTGTACATCTTCAGCTACATGCAGATGCTTTTTTTTTGTCTAAATCTCTAAGCTTAGAAAAGCATTTTATTTCTTAAAGAAATCACACACTCTACACAACTTCGTAACATCTTCGTTCGGATTCCTCCTCCCAACGTGAACCATCAGACCCCAAAAAAATTTGCTCTCTTATACATCATCTTATCAAATTTCAAGCTCTGTACAGTGCTGAGTTCTTCCATAGCCAACACACCTACTTCTTTGACTGATAGTTTTGACGGCACCCGCACATGGCCGACTCTTTCCTCTCATCTTCAGAAATTTCATCCACCTGGGCCCCTCCCTCTGCCCTCACCCTCGAGATCTTTTCATCGAGAACTGCTGGCTTGAAATAGGTCAACTCAATTTCTATCTCCAATTATCTCTCTCTTTGGGCCCCACGACATTGTTCATTTCCTAACCACAGTTTCCTTTCTGGATAACTCTACTAAGTTGCATAAGACCACTCACAAACCAGATGTTATGTTTGACCCCGAGGTAAGTTTCAAACTATATATCCGCACAAATCACCAAGATTACCTATTTTCAATTCCATGACATTGTTCAACTCCACCCCTGCCACAGCTCACCCTTGCTGAAATCTGCATCTATTTCTTTGTTACCTCCACACTTGAGCATTTCGATGGTCAATATTTTACCTTCCATTCCATGTAGGTTTGTGCTCATTCAAAATTTTGCTGTCCATATTTTTCAGCAGTCTTGAACATCACCTCAAAGCTCTCTTGCTAAAGTTCTATGGCTCCCTAGCTCTCTCCCTCCCAGCTGACTAGAAAACAGCAAAATCTAAGACCTCTCTTCAAGAAACGTGGGAGACAGAAAGTGGGAAATTATAGGCTGCTGAGCCTAATCTCAGACATTGAGAAAATACTGCATTTAATTATTAGAAATAGTGGGAAATTTAGAAAATCAAAATATGATCAGGCAGAGTCAACATGGTTTTATGAAAAGGAAATTATATTTGACCAATTTATTAAAAGTTCTGAGGATGTAACTAGCAGGATAGATAAAGCGGAATCAAATGATGTTGTGTATTTCAATTTCCAAAAGGCATTCAATAAACTGCCTCATGAAATGTGACTGCACAAGGTAAGAATTAGTGGTGTTAGTTGCAATATATTAGCAGAGAGAGAGGATCAGCTGGCTACCAAGAAACAGTGTCAGGATAAACGGTTCATTGGCAGGTTGGCCAATAATTTACAATCTATATTAATGGCTTGAATGAAGGCACCAACTGTGCTTTAGCCAATTTCATTGAGGAACAAAGATAGGCAGGAAAGCAAGTTGTCAGGAGGACGCAAAGTCTGCAAAGAGGTAAAGACAGGTTAAATGATTGGGCAAAAGCTTGGCAGGTAGATCATGGGGGGAAACATACTGTTATCTACTTTGCTGTGAAGAATAGAAGAGCCAATCTTTTACATGTCAAGAAACTGCAGAGTGCTCTGGTACAGGGATCTGAAAATGCTCGTACATAAATCACGAAATGTTAGAATGAAGGTGCAAGTGATATAGGGAAAGGCGGAAGCTGTTCCGATGGGACAGCTTCACCTGAATCAAAAACAGAAATCACTGGCTACACTCAACAGGTCTGGCAGCCTCTGTGGGAAACAACAATGTTTCAAGCCCAGTTACTCTTCATCACAACTGATAGCAGCTAGAAAAGGGTGGTTATTATGCTGAAGGTGAAGTTGGGAGGGGGGGTGGGGAAAGAGGGGAGATTTGGACCCAGAAAGAGATGGATATGAAACAAAGAAATTATGGATAGTAGGCCAGGACGGAAGAAAAACTTAATAACAACTAAGAGTAAGAGAGAATGGGTGACTGTGCTAAAA